AAGCCCATGCTCTTCAGGTGCGGGAAGGGTAAGGAGAAGAGTCACTTACCTTCCTTCTGTTCAACAGGGGGCTGGTGAGGGGGCATCTCTTCCTGGAAAGGGATGGCCTCCCTAGGGAGAGGAGGCTGCACTGCAGGACAAGGAGCATGAAGGAGCAAGGATCAGACTGGTGGCAGCAAGACCACGGCGGGCTGAAGGCGAGGCCAAGGCAAGCACTCACCTTCCTCTTCCGCGGGGAGCTGAGGAGGAGGCAGCTCCTCCTCACGGGCAGGGGCGGCTTCCTGGGAGGGAGGTGGCTGCACTACAGAGCAGGGAGTGGGTGAGGAGCCCAGCCCCTTCCCCCAGCCTGGCACCGAGAGAAGGCAAGGGCCTTCTTCCTCCCCATCAGAAGATGGGAGGTCCGCCAGTCTAGAAGTCTGGAGGGGTAACTGGGAAGGGCGTGTGGTGGACTTACCTTCACTCTGTCCCTCAATGTGAGGTCCATGCTGAGAGGTGTCAGGGTAATCCATGGGGAGGGCTCGGGCCTGCGGTGGGGAAGGTGGTGCTGCAGAGCCAACTGGAGGCAAGAGGGGAGATGGTCAGAGCCTGCGGTTCCTTCTGAAAGCCTAGTCCTATACCACTCCCTCAAACTCTTACCTTCTTGAAGGTGGTATGTGAGGTGCTGTGGCCCCAACTCCCTCTGTTCTAGACCCCTGAAGCCTGGAAGAGGAAGGGTCAGTCAGGGGTGGTTTTGAGGAGCTCCTTCTTGGCCCTGAGCGTGGGCTGGGGCGGCAGTAGAGGTCAAGGGTGTAGGAAAGAAGACTGAGACACCAGAAGCCCCTCTGTATTGCTCCTGCTGCATGTCCCCAAATCCACCCCTCAAACACGCCTAGATGAGACCCACTGGGTTCTGTGAAACCTTATAATATGCTGGTAGCCTTGTGGGGGCTAAGCCTTGGGTGTCTCCGATCCAGGCTGAGGGAAATGTGACACATGGGACTGGGGAGGAAGGCTCTCATACCGTTAGTGTCTCTCAGAGCTTCTGGGCTGTCCTCCCCACAGCCTTTTGCTGTGATGCTTCTCTAGTTTTCAAACCTTGAACTGGGTGGGGCCTCACCTGCCCACCTCTTCTACCCTCCCTCCTATCCCAGGCCCTTGAAACATCCATGGGCCTTCTGATAAAGAGCCTAGCCACAAGTTTAAATGCCTCTCCTCCAGCTGGTCCCAAATCCTCCTTTTTATGTTTATGTCTCGATTTACGATCCAGGGAACTGGAATGATTCAGGATTCCTGGGGCAATTATCCCATAGCCACAGGGAAAGGAATCACTTGCAGCTGATCTGCAGCCACAAAAGAGTAAGGCCTGGGAGAGACAAGATGGGGCTTTACGGAAATACAGACAGCTCTATGGTGCTCTCTCATTTCCCCCAGTAATGTTCTGTGCAGCATCCAAACAGATGATATGTGTCTACTAGAGGGTGGCTGTCCGGTCCCCTGCAGATGGACATCCTCTCAACTCCTCTCCTAACTGAAAGGGAGTTAGTCAAGGCTCTCCCATTTTGGGAGGCCTTAGGGCCCCTTTTTCCTCTCCTCTGCTTGATAGGCTTTCTCTCTCAGGCAGAGGCCCCTTACTCTGTGACTCTGCCTATCCCCTCAGGGCTTGTCCATTTCACTCCCATTTCCTGTTTTTTGGCAGCCTCTCCAGGAATCCCTCTCCTACTGTGCCCAATCCCATCCCTGGTTAAAGGCTCCAGGGCCCAAGACTACCTTAGGGCCTGCTCTGAAATGGGGAGGCCAAATGGACAGTCATCCTGCCGGTGGTGAGCCATCCAGGAAGGCTAGACGTGGGCCCAGGCCCACGCTGGCCAGGACCCCTTCGGAGTACTGACTCCAGCCCCAACTCACCTCCTTCAGAGGCTATGGCAACAACAGCCAAGCAGGCCCAGAGCAAGACCGCTGCGGACACAGTCCCCATCCTGGGGCAAGGACTGGTCGGCGGCCACCCAGGTGAGTCCTCTCTGGCAGGTCTGGATCTGAAGGGCCGGGCTGCTGGGAGCCTACTTCTCTGGCTGTTACTGCTGCTGTGAACGGCAGGGCCAGTTCCTTCTTTTTATATGGCTATCTGGGGATAGCTCCCGCCCTCCTCAGCTTCCTGCCATGACTCAGTTCCAGCTGCTCCTCCTCTGGCAGCCACTCCTTCCAGATTCATCCTGAAGCCTCCTGAGAGGATTGAGAAGAATGGGGTGAGGAGAGGAGAGCATTCTTGCGAACCCCCGGAGAAAATGATTCCGAGGATCAGGGAGCAAGAAAGATTTGAGATCTGATTTTGTGCCTCAATTTCTCCACTTCAGCATTGCCTGTTGTGAAGAAGGGATCATCTGACAACCTACTGAATTGGAGTGGGGGAAACAGGGCACTATGGGGTTCAGAGTGGGAACAAGACAGCCATCCCAGGAAGCTTCCCTACCAGGGAGGGACCTGGGCTGCTGCCCCCTCTCCATTTCCCCAGTGCCCTGGGACAAGAGAAAGAGGCAAAGAGTCAAGCTCCCTTTTAACCTCACTCAAGAGTCAGAGATGAAGACACATCTTGATGAGTTTCAAGTTTATTATTTTTAGTTTCACTCTCCTCACATCCAAAATGGCTCCCCCAGACCAAATCTCTTCCGAGGAGAGCAGATTCATGCTTCCACATGAGCTCCCAAGAGCCTGAGGCCCTCCAGATCTTGTCAGGCAGGTTGGGCTCTCCAGTGTGAAGGGAGGCTGGTGGCTCCTGCAGGTCTCTGTCACGTCTGTATACATAAGCTCAGAACATCTCCTCAGCATTGGGGACTCTGGTGCTCTGTAGCTCCAGCAACCGTTGTATAGCCTCAGTCAAGTCCCGTTCCCCCAGCCGGCGGTTATCCCGAGTCCGAACGTTCACTGTTCTCTCACTCTGCTCTTTCTGGCCAACCACTGCAGGAAGAGGGGAGGTGAGGCTCTCAGGGAAAATTCATCCACATGGGACATCTTCTTTAATAAGCAGAAGCTTAAGAGACCTAAATCTTTAGGAAGGGTGAGAGCAAAGTTCAGATATGGTTCACGGAAAGGATATATTTAGCTCTCTTCTTACTCTCTAGTTCCCTGCTCATCCTGAGGAGATAAGGGAATGTTCCAGACATTCCCCTGCAAACCTTATCACTTGCAGTCAGGAGCCCAGGGGTCACAGATAGTAGGGTCAGCCAGAGAAAGACAAACAGGTCAAGCAGCAGCCACAGAGAAAATTTGTGTGTGTGTGTGTGTGTCTCTGTGTATACACACAATAGAGAAAGGAGTAGAAGACACATGCAAGTCCACAGGACCATGGGCAGCTTGCCTAAGTGCTGGCAGGGTCAGTGAGTATATAAAACTGGAGAACCAAGAAATCTGATTGAGGAGTTTCTGCTCTTCTCCTTTAATAAAGAGCTCTGAACCTTGGAAGATGAAAAAAAAGAGTAGGGCTTGACTTCTCTCCTTAAGGACTTTCTCCTCACCCCTTAGGGCCAACTCCATGGAAGACTAGAATAAACAAAGCTAATTAATGCCTTATGAACCCTTCCTGTCCCTTTCTCTCTGATGCCCCCTTGGTTAATTAATCTAACAGACATAAAGAACTAAGGTGAGGAGGGTCAGAAAAAACTGTACTTAGGGTCAGTCGTAGTTGTCAGGACATGAAGAAATGTAGGGCCCAAATGGCTCAGGTGTCCTGAATCCTGGTTCCTGCCTAGCTCAGGTAATGAGCCCCAACTAACCCCAAAATGCAGATGATCAAACTTATTAGATATGAAACAACAGTGTAGAGGGCAGGTGGAAGGGTGCAGGGTTCTGAGGGCCTGTGCTGATCTGATCACTTACCAAACTGAAAATTGTAGTGGGTGAGCTGAGCTCGGCGGACTCTCCGGCTGAGAGTCAGTCCACAGTCAGTGTCCAGGTCGCAAGCCAGTCCTGCAGCTTGCAGGCTCTGCTGTGCCTGGAGCAGAGGTTTGGTGATAGGAATTTATTTTACCGGAAGGCTGAAGAGCTAGAGCAGTCTGATCCCAATTTCCCCCAACCCCCCAATGGTCTCCCTTCCTTGGCCTCAGGGCTCTCCAGCTCTCACGTCCAGCCCTCCTCACCCATCCCTGCATGGAGGGCCCTTCCCAGCCCTCAGAGCTGCTTGTCTCCCTCCTCCTGGAGCTGAGACCACCACCAACTCCCTGGACTCTGCCAGCCTTGAGCCACTGCTCTACCCAACCAGGTGCTCAACTCTGGTATTGTCCATGTCCTTACTTCTCTCTAAAAAGGAAAAACGAAACCAATACTTACCCAAGCCCCCTTTGGTGCCAAGTGCTCAGCTATCAATGTTTAACATTTGTTAATTTTTTACACATCTCCACAGGGCGTGGTTAGTCTCTTTACTCTGATGTGGAATTTCTACCATGTAGGCCAGCAGCCATTCAAGCCCAGTCTTGTGGCTCCAAGTGCTGTTCCCCTTCCACTACCCAGTGTGGCCTCTTCCTATGCACTGCTAGTCCCAGACTCCCTATTAGACCTGCTTCAGCCCCTGTCTATACCCCCAACTCCTCCTCACCTCCCTGGCATATTCCTCTTGCTCAGTCCCCACAGGGATGACCACTACCTGGAACGGGGACAGCCACAGCGGCCTGGTTGAGAGAGAAGAGGAGAGGGCAAATTACTTCTTTTGGCTCTGATCCCAAGTGTGGCTGCAGGGAGCAGACTGGAGAAGGAAACACAAGCTGCTGTCTGCAGGGGGCCAGAATCTCGAGCATGTAGTATCTAGTTTGATGGCCAGAACAAATCTGGGGTCTGAGGTCTCACCATTTTCCCCCACAGCTTTCTGCCAGCACTCCCAGCATCCTTTCCACAGAACCTAGCACTGCTCGGTGAATAAGGACTGGACGCTCTGGGGTTCCTGCCTGCCTGAGAAGGAAAAAGAATGGAATGGAAGGAGTGTTACAAACTGCATCAAGATCACCTTCCACTTTTCAAGAAATACTCAACTCTGGCAGGGGAGGGTGTGCAGGATTTGGTTTGGCTTTTAGGGGCAGAGAGGGAAGGTAGAGGGAAAATGGTTCTTCATCTACTCAATGGACAGCCAGGGGAAAAAGGGATGGAACAAAGTTTTACCTCTTGTACTGGAGGTTAAATCTCAGGGGCAGTTGGAAGTCAAGCTGGATTGTCCCACATTGATGGGGCCGACCCAGAGCATCTTGGAGGTGCACATCAATCTGGGGGAAACAGATGTGAGGGCATGAGGAAAAACTAGAACTACCTCCCACCCCCTCCCCACCACCTACTGTTTTGAGAGACATGCTACCCAGCTGTCTTATACTCTGCTTCACTCACTGGGAACTCTGGCAGTGACTCTTTACACTGAATAATGGTATTATAACATTCAGGGACATTAACAATGACACACCCTGGCCTCTCAATTCCTTGAGCTCTTCATCTCAAAGACCTCCATCTACAGCCATGCTACGGGTGTCACCATCCACATCCCGTCATCGCCTGGAACGGTTGCACCTCTGAAACAGTCCATCAGACACCCTGCTCTGCTCACTGTCTCTTGGCCCTCCAGCTCTGACAGTTACTCCTAGTAATGGCTCTTCAACATCTAGGTTCTTTACTCCTCTTCTTTCTTCCCACTCACAGGTACCACCCACCTTTCTTTTTTTCCCCATGTAGCTATAACCACTCTCCTTGGTTCCCATGTATCCCTGTTCTTCTGTCACATCCACATGGCAGGACTACCCCTGATGGGCCCTTTAACAGAACCACTCAGTGCTGCCCACCATGACCAACACCACACAGACGCAGAGGGGCGACACCGCCATGTAAGAAGTCACTGTTTCAAACCTCACCCAGACCCTTGCTGCAGCCAGTGATCGTTCAGTGGCCCTAATCAGCCTGTGTCCTTTCTCCTCTGGGGTTTCCAAGCTGCTTCCTCTTTCTCTTCGTGCCTTCAACCTCCTCACTGACCATTCTCCTCTCCCCTGCTCCTGTCTCAGCAAACTAGCCTACTTCTCATCTCATGGTGAAATCAGGTAATTGGCACTATCAGATGGGAAAATACCTCAGCTTCCTCTCGCCACACCTGTAAACTTCCTTTCTTCTACCCCCAGGCTTTCCTCCTGTCCCCAGGATGGAACAATGGCAGTGGGGGTCCTTTCTGTTGCGGGCCCTCAGTCCTGCCCTTCAAGTCTCCCCAGGAACCTCCCTCTACAGAAACCCCGGCTACAACTTCACTCCTCCCTGATCGAAACATAACATAACAGCTCTCCTTATCATAACCTTTAAATATGTTCTCAAGTCTCCCCCTACAACAAAATCTCTTTTCACTATTTAGGCCCCTTCGGCTACTCTCTTTGCCTTTTTAAAAGCCAAAATTCTTAAAAGAGTTAGGTTCATTCATTTACCTCTGACTCCACCCCTGGTCCCCACTTTATCAAAAATGGTTCTTCAAAACCTAACAGACTTTTTACTAAATCCAGCACTTTTCAGTCTTTTTCTCCTCTTTTTTTCACTTATTCCAACTTGCTGTGTTAGTTTCACCCTTCCCCCCAGCCTTTATCCACAGTTTCCTCCTGAAACACCTCTTTACTTGGCTAATAATTACCTTTTGGTTCAGAGGGATTCCTGCATGAAGCCCTTTATGGCCTCCTGAGGAACAAGCTCCTCAGTGCCCATATGGCCCTGGTGCTGTGACGCCACGGCGCCCTGTCTGCTTCCCACAGCCCTCATGAGACCAGGAATTCCATGGGCAGGAGCTGGATTGCTCTTCTTTACATCCTATACTGGTTTACAAATATTCCTCCTTATCTATTGAATGTTTAATAAAACCTCACAAAAAAGGAATAAATGAAACTCTAACCAGGGTCTCCAGCTTACCTTAGGCCCATAGAAGGCACCATCTCCAGGGTTGAGGTCCCAGGGTTCTCCAAATTCTTCCAGAGCCTGTTGAAGGGCCTTTAAAGGATGAGGCACAAGAGGACGATATCATCTCAGACTTCAAGAGCAACATGACCATCCAGCCCCCAACAAATAACCCTATTAGCATATGCCTCTACTGAGAACCCTCATGCCCTTGCACCAGAGAGTGGCTTACCTGCCTCTGCTTCACTACCACCTACTCACCTGCTCAGCCTGGTCCCAGTGGCAAGGCTCTCCCAGGAAACCGGATGGCCGGGTGGACAGTGCCAGGTGGAAGGAGAAGCCAAGGACAATGTAGACAGAGCGGAGGAAATCAAGACATCCTCGGATCTCTGCTTCCAGCTGGGACAGGAAGTAAAGAGGGGTCAGCTGTGTGCTAGCTAGAGCTTTGGGAGGGTCAGGATGTTGGTGGTTCATAAGGAGAATGAAAGGTGGTTTAGAAAATCCTTTGGTGGAGCTGGGGAAGGGCCACCTGATCCAGTGCACAGAAGATGTGAGCGTCATCCTGCTGGAAGCACCGCAGCCGGGTCAGTCCTCCCAGACTACCAGAGGCCTCTGCCCTGTGCAGGGCCCCAAAGTCTGCCAGTCGCAGGGGCAGCTCTCGCCAGGATCTGGGCCGGTGGGCAAACATCAGGCTGAAGTTAGAGAGGGGGAGGGTCAGGGCCACGGGGAAAAGTAGCCCCTCTAAGATTGCTCCTCTGCCCAACCTGCCTGTTTCCCTTCTCTGCACCATCAGGTAACACCTCATCCAGCCTCAGTAGACTCTCTCACACAGTCCTGCCAACCCATGCAATCTGAGCCCTGACTATTTCAAAAGTGAATTTCTCAACAACAAAGATAACAGACATCATTTACTATTCCCCTGTTCTGTGAGGGGCACTGAGTTGAAAGAGGAACCTCCGAGAGCAACTCTAAACCCTTGATGTTACCCATAAGGAAAATGAAGCTTAGGAAAGTATAATCATTTCCCTAAATTCACCAGGTTAGAGGGTGGATTAGACTCAAATCAGGTGTCCCAACACTCTTCCAAGGTGTTTTCTGGCACTTAATATTTAGCCATCTGGTTGCCTAGTGCCAGCCCTGGGAGGACCCAGGCTTTTGGGGTCCCAGCTCACCAGTGTGCAGGGCAGTTCATGGGCTTCAGGGCGAGCGTGTCTGTGGGAGGGCTGGTAGAGTGGTCACCCGGGTTGCTGACAGGCCTGCCAGAGCCTGGGGACTGCAGGGCAAACATGTCTTCCCAATAATGCTCCCAGTGTCCTGACTGCTCCCACAGTTTCGTAGAAAACAGTGTGGGGGTTTTCACTTCTAAGAAACCACGGCGGGTATACTCGGCCTGGAAAGGAGGGTACAGACATGGTAGGCCGGAGTGACTGGGCAGAGAGGGGGCAGAGTAGCAGCTGTGTGACTCTTCTGGGCCCTCAGGTCATGTTCATCATAGCCATAGCCTATTGAATACCATGCTCCCTCTCTCTGCGCATCCACTGTAGGCCACACCTTTCTAGTACCTTGATAAAAGTCAACAGCCCTTTACAGTATTCATGTTTATGCTTCTAACACTCTTTTTTTATCACTTGGTTTCTTCTAGGCCGTCAGTCCCTCCCCAGTCTCCTTTCCCCTGGTCTTGAGTCCCCCTTACCCTGATAAAAGCCACCAGTGCATTATAGACCCTTGTCCCTCGAGGCAGGAAGAAGCAGCTCCCAGGGCTCAATTTGTGGAAGAAGAAGAGCTCCTGTTCCTGGGGCCAGGAATGGCAATGGTTACTTCAAGGGGAAGGCAGGGGCTTTGAAACCCAGAAGAAATAATGCTCAAGCTGCTGGACTCTGCTCCCGGCCTCACAGTCAGGTTCCTTCATCCCCCCACTGCCCAGATCGCTGTACCTTCCCAATGCGTCGGTGGTCCCGTAACTCAGCTTCCTCCCTCCACTCTTCCCAGGCCCTCAGCTCCTCCACAGTGGGAAAGGAAATCCCTGACACTCTCTGCAGTGTCTCTGGGGTGCCTGACAACCTCCACATGGATGACGAGTTCTATGGGAGGACATGGGGGGTCAAAGTGAAGGTGGGGAGGACTAGACACCCAACTCTCCTTCAGTCCTCATCTGATACTTTTGGTGTGAGCATCACAGGTGTGTCACTCTCACCTCTCCACCACCCTTTCCACCATCACCACCATGAAGAGAACCACAACCCCTTTGCCATGGTTACAACCTTGGAGGTGCTTGACTCTTGATTCCTATGTATGTCCTGCTCAAGCCTAACCTTGCCCTGCCACCTCTCTCTCACCTCATTCTCACTGCCACTGCCTGGCTAGCACCCTTGGTCTTAGTTCCTTCCTCTTCCAGGCAAGGGGCACTCGAGGGAGAACCCTAAACTTTGGTCAATTGTGAATCTATCCATCCCCTTATCAATCTCCAATACAGCTGCTAGAAAACTCAATCCCCCATATTCCTAACCACATGAAATTCATATGCTCTTGCTTCCTCTTTCCTTGAACAATACTATGAACAACAGCCTGTATTTTATACCACTTTTAGCTTTCCTCACTTTATCCTGCATTACTTGGCTTTGTCTTAATGATACAGGAATTAACAGCTTCATTTTGCAGATGAGGAAAATGGGTGAGGAGATTTACCCAAGGCCACATGCTCCATCAGTGGCACAGTGAGGACTAGGTGCAGATGGCTAGGTGTTCAGTTCAGGGCTCTTTTCTATGTTCCTGCTGCTCCCCTCTCTCCCCGCTCCCATTCCATCTACAACTCACTTTGCCCAGAATTAGTATTTTCATGAAAGGCATGCCTTTGACTTGGAGTACTTCCCCGATGCCTGTCAAGTGATGTTCCGGATGTCCTCTCTCCACTGTGTGACCATGACTGGTCTGCTCATGCCCTCCTTCTCCAACTCCCTGTCTCCCTGAGCACAGATGTCTGACTATGGGATTTGAATTTGTTTTGGCCTTGGCAGGGTGCCCTGTATCTGCCTTCAGTTTGGGAGTTTCTAGGTGGCAGGGACTAAGTATCTTTCTCCTTCTGGATTCCCCCTTTAGCTGTTAGAATGGAGAAAGGGCTGAGAGAGAGGATTCTCTTTCCACTTCCCTGCTTACTCTAGTGAAACAGGAGTCTCAGCCTAACCCTGCCCTCACTACTGACCGTCAGCAGTTTCAGTCCTCCTATCTGTCCAGTATGCCGAAGGTGGGGGCCCCGGCAAAGATCAACCAATGTGCCGCACCTGGAAGAAGGGAAGGGCCAGTTAGTGGCTTCCAAATTCTTGAGCTTCTAGTTTTCTTTCTCTCATGGCCTTTAGCTAACTGAAAGGTATCAAGAACTGTTCTACAGAGAGCACTGGAAGATAAAAAACAATTTTTCTCTGGAGCAACAGATTACCTTCTCTTCTTTCCCTTATCTCATTTATGGCCTCCTTTGCCACATCTCCACCTCTCTCTGTTTCTTTCAGCTTTGACAACTCTTACCCATACACTGTTGCTGTTGGACCTGTCACTTTCTTCTCGATCAGGCGAAGCTTAAAGGGGTTATCCTGAAAGAAGGGAAGAGTGAAGATAAGTTTTTATTTCCTTAAAGATGTCCTGGGAAAGAATCATCCTTTCCCTCATGCCTCTCAACTTTTCCTCTTAAACTTGGCATCTCCTCCCCACCTTGAAAAGCTGGCGAAGCTCATCCTGGGAAGCCTCTAGCCTCCGGAAAGGTTGAGCAGCAGCTGCAAATTCCTGGCAAATCCTCTCCAAAACTGGCAGCTCTAAGCCCCGGACTGTTCTGGAAATATGAGAGTTGGTTGGCTTGTATCCTCTAGGAAGCATCACCTGCGTGACAAACCTATTGGCTAGGGGGTGAAATCCTGCCCTCCAGAAACATCTAGAATTATTGGCAAAAACAGACAAACTGAGAGAAAATATAAATCAGAAATCAGACACAAATTTTATAATTGGAACAAAAAAGCTCTATGCATGAAATTAGAAGTTGAGTGCAGGCAGTCTGGATGGACAAAATTAGAGCAAGAGTAATGAGGGGTGAAGTAAAAGTTGGAGGATTCATAAAGGTAGAGAAGGTAAGTTTCAAGCAGAATTAGACAGAAAAGGAAAGACATGGACTAGTGTTGGAGGTGGTACCAATGTCCTAGATGAGGCCTGGAGAGACCCTCAACTCCAGCTTCTCTTTCAAATGAAACATGCCCAAGGCCCCAGAAAGGGGCCCTGAAATCACCTAGTAAAATGGTACATATTCTAAATTACAAGATGAATTAGATCTGAGGAGCTAATGTACAACATGGTGACTATAATTGATAATCCTGTATTGTAAAATTGAAATCTGATCAGAGAGTAAATCTTATGCACTCTCAAAAAAGAAAAAAATGAGACGATGAAAGTGTTAATTAACTCAATTGTGGGAATCCTTTCACAATGAAAACATGTATCAAATTTTCACATCATACACTTTAAGTATCATTACAATTTTGTCAATTGTACTTCAAAAAATTTAAAAGTAAAATAAAATATCGTGAAATATCTAAAAATGAAACCATCCCAGAATCATTCTCTTCCTTCCTTGTGCTACTCACCGTTCCTTTCCCAGGAAGAAATCATGATAGAAGCCACATTCTGTACTCGGACCTTGGCAGAGTATAGCACCTAGGAGTTGTTCAGCTGCTGCCCCCAAGACATGGCTGCTAGAGTGCCAGAATACCTAGGTTCACAGGAAAGGAGTTCATGAGTTCATAACATTCTTCTTTAACCCCCCGTTTGCTGATCCTTGCCTCAGAGAAGCTGGTATGAAACCAATATGACTCTTTTAGGAATAACTTTCACAAAATGGGGAACCTGACCTTGACGGTGACCAAAAGAACAGAAAAGAAAGCAACAGGCCAGTAGGAGTAGTGTACTGAAGACAGCAGCTTATAGCCCCACTTCTCAGTGCTTCCTGGTCCTGCAGCCTAAAAGCAGGAAGCCAGCCAGTTGTCTTTTGCTGCTCCTCATGTCCCCTTTTAGGGCTTCAGAGTAAACTAATTTCTGAAGACAGTGGTTCCTAAGGGCTCTGTTCTTTTAGTCCTATTTTTTTTTCTATCCTAGGAATTAGTGTGATGCAACTACTCCTGTAGGATTTGGTCACCACTTACACACAGGTGAAATGAGAACTTAATTTTTTCTGGATACTAACAGATGACGTCTGCATTACCCAAACTGACAAGAAGAGGACAAGGTGACATGGGGAGGAGGCCAGGTTGTGTGCTCAGCTGTGGAAGCCAGATTAGAATGAAATACATTACAGTTGACTTATAATGAAGGTCTCAAGTTGGGGGACCGAGTCGGCATATTAACATTATCCTGTTTTCAACTTACCATCTCTCCCTTTCACTAGCACAAATGATGTCTGCTTAATAGATCTAAACTAAGTAAAAACCTTCATCTTAAATTTCCAGCTTAGCCACAAGTAGTCAAGACAAGCCATCTGTGGTAGGTCTTCCTCCCTATTACAACTGGAGAAAGTGAGGCAAAAGAAATAAATACTATAAATGCCCTACTTCAATACCTCTTAGTTTAGTAGACACTGTATTCCTGAAAAGGAACTTACTGCTTTCCCCTCTGTGGAATCGAATGTCAGAAATCTGATGTCAGAATCGGTCTCCAAGGGCCGCTCCAGATCATAAGGTTCTCCATTCACTTGAGCAGCAACTGCAGTACCTGCCAGAGGTGAACTTCAGCAGTGGACAATGGGAGATAAAGAAAAAGACCATTTACAATCCACAGGGGAAGAGGACTAATCTCTTAGCAACTCCAAACTTGCAAAGGGGAAAGGTGTTACCACAGCAATACAACCTACCATTCTTTTCCCAAAAGATAACAGAGGAAGGGCAAAGACTGTGAAACTAATGCAGATAAAAGTGGACCCTCAGGAAAAGACTATATTAATGGGGATGGAATAGAAACAAGCATAATTTTCTTTCTCTGCTGAAGTCCAAATAAGTGCAATGGTAGAATAATCATCCTGGTAGCTATGAAATGGGTCTCGTACCTGATCTGCTGGGCTAGTTGGTAAGGAGTTGTGTTCCATGCTACAGCATCCATTTTCTGGCCTCCGGCAAGTGTTATCTTAATAGTCCGGTGTTCCTTCTGTGCCATGCTTGCTAATCTCTTTACTTGAGCAGCCCATAGCTCCTCAAAAAGGCTAAGCCGCTCTGCTAACCAGTGTGGAGGCGTACGCACAGCCTGGCAGGAAAGATGTTAGGTGACATAGGTCCCAGCATTCCTTCCTGGGACTGGAGATGGTGGGAGATGAGGTCATTTAAGTGGCCTTGGTCCCAATCCCCACTCTTTAAGAGGATTGGGTAATACAGGGCCCTAGGCGGGGAGCCCGACGATCCCCAGGCTGTTGACCCCAGGAAAAAGATGATGCAATTAAGGGCTAGGGTAGTCGAGTCCGGGTACTCAGGGCGGGGGCAGG